GGGCGGAGGCGGGCAGGGCTGGCTCAGGAATGTTTTGCTCCGATACGGGGCTTTGCGCGATGCCAAGACAAACATGGGGGCAGGGCTGGGGGGGGCTCTGTTCCCACGGGGGGGAGGGGAATCAGCATGTGGGGTCCCCTGGGAACGCAGCTGCCCCAGTGCCTCATGGGGGAGTTCTGCTCCAGGGCAGGGCCCTGCCCCCCCAGGGGATGGGCCTGGAGAGGGGCAGCCCCCGGGTGACATGTCTGTGCCCCCCGGCAGCGCCCCGCGCCCCCCCGGAGAACGTCACAGCCTTCCAGAACGGCAGCCGAGCCACGGTGCACTGGCTGGCGCCACGCGGGCCACTCGGCGGGATCCTGCGTGGGTACAGGCTGGCCTATCAGAGCCCCGATTCGCCAGAGGTGAGCTCGCCTCGCCCTGCCCCGGGACCCCAGCCTGCCTGCCCCCTAAGCTCGCCACCGCCCCCTAAGCTAGGCCCCTACCCCATCCCAGTCCCCTTGCCCCAGCCAGCACCCCACGCAGGGGCCAGATCGGGGCCAGTGCCCCCCAGAGGGGACAGGCCCCGTGCCCCATTCCCCGCCCCCCTGAGCCAGCCAGTCCCTGCTCTGGGGCCAGATCGGGGCCAGTGCCCCCCAGAGGGGACAGGCCCCCTGCACCATTCCCCACCCGCCAGAGCCAGCCAGTCCCTGCCCTGGGGCAAGACGGGCCAGTGCCTAGAGGGGATAGGCCCCATGCCCCATTCCCCACCCCCTGAGCCAGCCAGTCCCTGGGCCAGCGCCCCCTAGAGGGGAAAGCCCAGTGTCCCAGCCCTGGCTAATCCCACTCCCTGGCAGGTGGTGGTGGATGTGGGGCTGACCACCGAGAAGACCCTGGAGCTGGTCTCGGAGGTGCAGAACCTGACGGTGCGGGTGGCGTCGTACACCAGCGCCGGGGACGGGCCCTGGAGCGACGCCGTCGTGGTCTCCCCATCCTGTGAGTGCTGGGGGGCTGGGCCGGGTGAGGGACCGGCCGCGGGACGGAGGGGGGCTCTCCCACTGCGCTGCAGCCCTGCGGGGACCGGGCTAACCTGGGGGTGGGGCCAATGTTTACAAACCCAGGGATGGCTCTGATCCAGGTCCTGCTCTCAGCCCATTTCCAGGGACGGCTCCGATCCAGGTCTGTGGTTC